CACACACACACACACACACACACACACCTGTTGTAGTGGTTCGTCTATAAAACTGGAGCCAGTCAATCTCCTGTCAATCCTTATAGGCTTCATTTCCAGCTTCATCTCATCCAATGTCTGAAAAAGAAATACACAATGACAAGAGAGATGTGGTGAAATGTGAGTACTCATAGCAGCAAAAAGCCTGATCTGCATGCTGACACCATCAACGAAGAAAACGAATTATCAGCTAATTAATTGGTTTGTGTAGGTGACATCCAAACTGTGTTTATTTAAGCTCCTTTTACCTTCACTATACCAATCTGTGTGGGTGGCAGGTAAGAGTGCTCGCATTTCTCCAGGTGTTTCTCTGAGTTGATCTTTCCATAGAGCAGAGTGACTGCAAAGCCCCTGGAAAACAAGTGAGAGCAAGTTTAAACTCACCTGTCAGGCTTCTGTACAGAGTGTTGTGGTTATAGACAGAATCCAATTATGGCTTCAAAAAGTCAATGCTCACCCTCCAACAAAGCAGAAGATATAAAAGGCCAGGTAGAATATGGCAAAGGGTCCAAAGGTGACGAGGAACAGCACGACTCCAAGACCCCCCCATCCCCAGATGGATAGACTGGCCTGAAACGCACATAAATCCAAAACACAGGATGAATAATCCTTGAACTACTGTTTATAATTTAGCTGGTTGATAAATGCCAATATGTGTGTGATGATCATTTGTTAGTTAAAAGAAAAGCTACTGTCTGATAAAGGTATTTAAGTTTTCTATCGCTGATATTAGAAAGTATTTTAGTTTGCAGCCCTGTCACAAACATTATTCATGTTTTAAGGAACTGATCAAGATGTTTTTTTACATTAATACTTGAGTCAGCCCGAAATGTCAGCTTGTTGATTGTATCTGCCATTATTGGCTTGTCACAGATACAGTGTATATTGGTTTAGTTGTACATTGTCAAACACAAGCCAATATAGAAACCCGATGCAGAAAAAAATGCAGGTCATTTTGAAATAGTGTCATTACATCATTGGTCCAGCAGAGTGCGCTCTGACTCCAATATTTACAAACTCTCAGCACGTGAAGCAGAGCTTACGTCAGAGCTGAGCAGGTGATCATGTGATATCAAGCTGCATGATCTTTATGGTGATCTGCTAGTTTATAATATGCATTCCTGAGAAAAGTTAATAATCAACTAGCCCATTGTTTTTTGTGCATAAATAGAAATGCATACATATATTTCTCATTCCAGTGTCACACCAATACATTGGCCTATCCCTTTCTGGGAATACTAGACATCCTCAGTTTAAAAAACATGCATCTTATTCTGGTAAACTTGGATTAAGATGAAAAAAAAGAAAAGAGCCACATTAAAGAAAAAAATCAAAAGCAATCCCAAATGAACTAATTACAACAAAATATAGAAAAATGTAGAATCAACATTGAGTTGTATTATTATTGTATTACATCATTCACAGAGCAGCAAAAACTCACTTCAACACTTTTGATGTCAGCACAGGAAAACAATATTTAAACAGACACAGACTGTTGCATGCTGTACTGTTAGAGAGTGTCAGATGAAGACTGGGAGTGTGTGTGAGTGTGTGTGAGTGTGTGTGAGTGTGTGTGTGTGAGAGTCACATCCTATGGTTTTCCTGTTATTGTCACTGCAGGAAACCAAACTCTCTTTTCCTGCTAGCACCTCTGTGTCCCACATTTCCCAATTACTTGTTCCATTTTCAGTCCCATACTGTGACACTGATGCAGACAGGGAAATGATACAACACCAGACAACTTAATCTGAGTACAAGAGTCGAGGAAGACAGAGCAGAGTGGAGCTACCATCACTGTATAAGTATAGCACTGGCACAAACCGCAGAGCTAATACCCACTCAGTCCAGCTCAGTGCCGGCTGAGGGTTTTAAAACTGGAAGTGACCTCTATCATGACTGTTGTTGATGCTTTCACATCAGAGAGGATAAGACTTTATAGACTTTATATTTAATTTTCTCCCATGACAGCGAAAGCAGGTTATAAAGGCTTCATATATCCAGGAATTAGCCCTATACATATTGTATAGGTTCTTGGATATATGGAGCCCCCTATGATGCTGCAGGATAAGCAGGTAAAGACAAATTACATGGACACACGCGCACACACACACAGACAGACACGTATTTATGGATGAATGTTTATATGTACCCAATGGGTGCAAATGCCCTGAGCAGCGAGTCCCAAGTTCGACTGCCTGCCGGCTGGTCTGTTTTCTATGTCATTCCCGTACTCTTTCTCCCCACGTTTCCAGTCCATCTTCATTGCTGCTATCAAATACAAAACAAAAATACCAGAAAAATGATTTGAAAAATTTTGTTGGAAAATAAGTCACTAATAGGCTGATTTATTATTTGAAGCCCTTTTTACAGTCCTAAGGTTGTTACATGAGGGATGAGTCTCCACAAACGTATCCATCCCCACAGCTACAGGCTGGACAAATGAAACCAGGCTACGAAAAGCTAGGCAAAGTACTATAATATTCAGTGTCACGTGCTAATGTGAATAATGTAGTTATCTACATAACTATGGTGGCATGTGAAAACTGTCAGACAGTCACACACTGTATCTCTCTCACACTTCAGCCGTGGAGCCATCAGAGGGGTGTCACTGACAGACATCATGATTATATTATTCATACCAGAGTTCCTCAGCACCTCCGCTGATGGAGCCAGATAGGGACAGACAGAGCCACCTCAGGACATTGACACATTGTTTTCTCTGCCACTGCCAACTATGGACAATTGGATGACACACATTAAACTGGCTGCCAAGTGTGTCGGACGCATGGGAAGGCCAGATCACTATATACACTACAGCATGACCACAGCACACAGGCAGGCTATTGAGAGTCAGTGATGAAGAGAAGACTATTTGGATTATTTGTGAAGCAGATCTAGTTCATCCTGTGGCTCTACAAACATACAAATCCACAATTTTACTCATTCTTACAATTGCCCACTAAACATGTTGTTGCATAAAGCTACTGCAGATGACAAACAATCTAATCACTGATTGAATGTCTGATCAGATACAGGAACTAAGTTTTAATAAACTAATGACAACAATTTGGAATATCTCATGAAAATCTGAGGCAACACTGAACTGCTGCCAACACACACGTGCGTTCCTCATGACCACCATGTCCCGATGAAGTTGTCTTTTGTTTCCACTCCATATTCAGGTCATTTCATATGGAGATAAACTGTCAGCTCCAAAAACATGAGTGGTAGAGATACAAGCTGATCAAAGTATGGCAGTGGGGGGGGACCGAATTACAACGGTATTACAAAGGTATCCTTATATTCTGCATTTGAGAGCTTCAAACATATCAGTTCACTGGACTTGATTGGCTCCAGTTCAGATCAGATCAGCCTGTGACATCGTTCATCACCACACACAACTGATTACACAGCAAAGCTGACACTGATGACTGTCAGTGGGATCGACTGACCTTGAATTTATTTCCTCACCAGAAGCCCACAGCCAATTAGACAGGCTGAGACCAGGCCGAGACAAGACAGCAGCTTCCCACACAATGAAATTCTATTTGTGACAGTGGCGGACCCCAGACCATATACAAGGATCCACTGCAAATATTTTAACTTCGGAATACTTTGTGACAAACTAATCAGTTGCTTCATGTTAGTTGCTCAGCAGTAAGATTAGATAAGAATAATACGATTATTCAGTTCTAGACCCCACTTGAACCAGGTCTTATGTATTATATTAGTTGTGGAGCCTGATAAATATAAACTTTTGGTGTCCCAATACCGA